TTTTTTTTTTTTTTTGGCAAGGGAGGCGCCTGGCGAGAGTCTGCGAGTGTCCAATTTTGGTGCAATGCGGCACCCAATCCTGGCTGGATCCGCTGCTCCGGTGACGCTCTCTCTCTGCCTCTCTGCTCCTGCTCGGCGGGGCGTCGCTCAGCCTCTCTGCCTGCTGGGCTCACTCGGCGCTTTCCCCACCGCGCGCTGCCTCGCTCACTGTCTAAAGCTCTGAAGCTCTGCCGGTGCGCCGCGCCGATGCTTTGGCAGCCGCTCGGAGTGTAGCCGAGATGCAATCTCACTCCACTCCTCGCCACGCTCGCTCCATTTGGCTCCACCATCCGCGACCCCCTTCATACGCCCCTCCCTCACTCCATCCGACACCATCACATCGCATCGCCTCTTCTGCACACGCACACGCACACGCACATACACCACCACACTCTCGCAAAGTCGCCTTGGTCGACCTCAATCGCCTCCTATGACGCACCCAGCTCGATGAGACCCACCCAAGCGTCGGCAATCCTACACACGCTCTCCGCTGCCCAGACTCCAGCTTCCTGGTGTCAACGTCTTGCATCCTTGCGGTAGCCTCGATCCCGTGCGCAATCGCGCCAACACCAACAATGACATCCACGCGTCCACCACTCGACCTCAACTACCGCTCCGAGCCAGCTCCCTCGCGCCGTTCCATATCCAGCCAGGCCGCCTCCGCCTCCCGCGCCCTCACCTCCGTTGCTGCCTCTTCCGTCTCCACCCCTTACGGCGGCCTTCCCTCTTCGGCATCTTCCTCCTCTGCGTCTTCCTCCTCATCCTTGGTGTCCTCAGCGCGCCGCTCTATATCCTCGACCGGAAGGAACTCCTTCTCGCGCACGAGTCCTTCTACAACTTCGCTCGTCAAGGATCAATCCCCCCGCTCTCGTAGCCGACGTAATGGCAGCGCCAGCTCCAGCAGTCTGGTGCTCACCACTCCCGACTCTGCGACAGGCATCCACCAGTCGAGCAACGCCGAGCCTTCCGCATCGGGCTCGGGCAGCAATCGCGATGCCGTGAGCGCTAACACCGCCTCCAACAGCTCCCGCCACCAGCGCCACCACTCGGCAGAGACACTCCGCTTGGATCTCGACGGCCTCGACCTCGGCGGCAACCAGTTTCTCGCCAATCCTCTCGGCGCTGCTGCTCCCGTCGCTCCCGATCAACGCCATGTCCGTTCCACTTCCAACAACGCCGCACTCCCCAACTCCTTTTCCTCCACCAGACCCGGCGGCTTCATCGACCCCTTCAACGCCAGCAAACCCGTCGATTCCAACCTCCACCACCTCTGCGCATCGTGTCCAACCGATCCCCACACCTACCCCGCCCTCCACGCCCTCGAAGACAGCTTCTCCCTCCATCTGCGTGCAGAGTGCTCCGACTATCGTCAGATCATGCCTGCCCAGATCGTTCTCAACGCTGCTGCCGACCGGGAACTCCGCATGCGCAACGCCGGCCCCGACGCTCCGGACCAACATCGTGCGCGAGGTTATTCCATCAGTCACGGCCAGGTCCTCGGCGGATTCGCAAGTCTCGGTCTCCAGACCGAGCCAGACGCCGCGCCCACAGCACCCCCAACGCGCCAGTCGCCCGTCCGCGCCGACACCAAGCACTCCACCGACTCGGCCGAGCCGCCCCTCACCCCGATCGAGTGGAGGGACAGCTTCGCTTCGCCCACCTCCGCCAGCTACGACGCCACCCCCAAGTGGGCGCATCTCACCAGCAGGCCTTGCAATCCGCTCGAGCCCCTCGACGTGCTCTCCATCCAAGAGATGGGCTTCCACAGCCTCGACGTCGGCAGCCTCAACGACTGGGAGGGCTGCAAACTCTCCGCAGAGATCCTCTGCCCCATCAACGGCCATCAGCGCATCCAGTGGTCCGTCGCTCAGACCACCCGCAGGACCAAAAAGTGGGTCGTCGTGCCCAACGCCACCATCACCTGCGGCAAGCCAGACGCTCTTGCCAACGCCGAACAGGCAGAGAGGACCGTCGTCGTCAGCGCACGTTCCATCTGGCTCGACGAAGCCGCGCATACCGCAGCTCAACCAAGCGCCTCACACAATCCCGACCAATCTGCCAATCTCGCAACGTCGAACCGCAGCTCTCGTCCCTTCTCGGGCAAGTCGGGCTTTGAGCTTCGGCTGCTGCGCCCCACCTCGGGCCGCATTTGCCCTCCCGTCTATCTGGCCAACGCATCGACGCATCGATCGCTTCATCAGTATCGCACCGACATCTGCTTGCGATCCAAGCCGAGCCAGGCAAGTCTGGTTGCAGACCGTCTCAGCCCGAGACCCCCCCAGCCCGTCTATCCGGTGCTTCGACGATCGCGATCGCGACCCTACCTGCGCCACCAGCACGTCCCCTTGCGTCGCTCGCGCTCCAAACCCTACTTGAAGCCCGAACAGCACGCGGCCAGCCAGGCGGTGGCTTCCAGCGTAGTTGCCGACGATTTCGCGCCTTCGCTTCCAGGCGATCCGCATCTGCGCATGCATCCGGGCGAGTCGTGGCCTTCGGCACGCTCGCGCTCGCCTGGATCGCGATCGTCGTTCGACGCGACGTCGAGCAGCGATGACGAGAGCGATGCCTCGTCGGATGCAGAAATCTTCTCGGCGCCCAAGACGCACGAGTCGGCGAGCGGCAGTGCCTCGTCTGCCTCCTACGACCACTCTCACAAGCCAGACGCTGCCTCGGACGGGTCTGCTTCCTATGCGAACGGGTCCATGCCTCCAAGATCGGCACCGGTCGCCATGCTTTCCTCTGGCAGCAGGCACGGCACAGGCCAGCATTCTCCCTCGGACAAGTCCTCCGCGACATCGTGGCAGCACAGCAGCCTCGGCGAGTCTCTAACCGACTCTTGGCAGGGCACCTCGCAAACTACCGCCGCGTCGGCCTCGTCTGCGAGCGCCAGCAGCAAGCAGAGCCGCAGCCGCAAGGGTCTGCAGCGGGCTCTGCAGAAGAAGGACAAGGTGCTCAACTCGTGGTTCAAGCGTCGAGCGGACGCGTCGTCGGCAGCTTCGGCCGATGGCCAAGCCACGCAAGCCGAGGTGGCCAATGGCGTGTCGCCTTCGGCATCGGCACTGCCGTCTCCGACCAGCGCGTACAGGAGTCTCAACGGCAGCCAGCCCGCTCGCATGCCGCGGGAGAGCTCGGAGACAAGTGCGAGCGTGGCAAACAAGGGTCCGACGCCCCTCACCGAGACGGCGCTGGAGAGCTTCCAGAGGGCCATGTTCCGACCCGCTTCGCCCGAGTCGACCATCATGGGATCCAGAAGGGGCTCCGAGGCACTCACGCAAAAGGCAGTCGAGCCGAGCAACGCGGTCGCAGATCGCTCGATCCCCGACAAGGTCGCTACGAACGGCGCTGCTCCTGGCACCCACGCGGCTTCGGACAACCGCACGGGCGTGCACACGACGCTGTCGGCGCTGTACGGATGGGACCGGGAGCAGGCGGCGAGCAAGCTGCTGCCGTCCAGGGGGGTTGGCTCAGGCCCCGGCAGTGTAGCCTCGACGCAGGGGTCTTCGTATCTGGATCTGGACGAGCAGGTGGCGTTGCTGGGCATCGATGCGGTGCCAGCTGAGGCGCTGACGATGCTCATTCCGCTGCCGCTGATCGGGCGATCGCGGGCGCAGGATGCAGTGCGGTATATGCGCGTCAACTTTGTTCCGTTTGGCAGCTTGTCCGACTCTGTGGACGCGCAGAGAAGCACGGCATGGAGCGGGCTCAGCGGCGTGGGCTCGCCGAGCTCCGAGAGCGAAGCGGGCCTGTCGCACAGCACGAGCAACGGCAGCGGCAGTCTGGCATCGACTCGCGAGGCAGGCTCCGGCACGGCCAAGACGTCGGAGCAGTCGAATTGGAAGCGAAAGCTGGGACTGTCGGGCCGAAGCGGTGCCGGCGCCAACGGGCAGAATGGCGCGCCGGTTGGAGCTAGCCAGGTTGGTGGCGCGCTGGGCAGCAGTGCGTCGAAGGGCCAGCTGGCATCGAGCACGACTGAGGCGCTGTTGTCGCCCGCGCCGACCAGTGGTCCACAGGCGTTCCGCATTACGGCGATTGTACACGATGCGCCGTGGACCGCGCCGGCGGCTTGTTCGTCGTCGCAGCTGGATCCACGCTTGCCCGAGCCAGGCACGTTTCCGGTGGTGTTGGGCTACTGCAACGGCTCCAAGACGCTCGAGATGGTGCCCGAGGGATGGGGCGCGCTCTCGCTCGCCGGAGTGCCCGTGCCCACCAAGCCGGACGGCTCGCCGTTGGAGGGTGTGCATCCTTTGCACGGCGTCACGGATCTGATCATCTCGGCGTGTACCGCTGTGATGGATGTGTAATTGTTCTCGCTAGCATTTCTCCCTCCTCCAAAGGTTTTGTAATTGTATCCTCGACATGCGTGGGCATTCAAGTGTTGCACGGGCCAAATTGAGAGCATACAGGAGGGAGAGAGAAGGTGGATTGGGGCGAATGAGAGTGCTGGTGGAGAATAAGCTTTTTTCGGCTGGCTCTAAGCGAGAGGGTGCATGCGTGCGTGGGTGGGTGGGTGAGTGCAGCGTTGAGCGTCTGCATTGTGTCGGGGCCAGCGTGGGATCCATTGCAGCGCGCATGCAGCATTCCGCACAGCGCCAAGGTGGACCAAAGCTCACAAAGGCGCCCGTGGCGGGTGGAAGTGAGCGTCCACCACTTTGGCTGTTGCGAAGCCGTCAAGGTGTGGGTGGGTGGACCCTGTGGAGCAAGAGGAGCGGCTAACTTAGCGTGGCTTTCCGGAGCTTCCGCCGAGATGAAGGGGCGCTTAAGCGCCACCCAACCGCGCTGCCATCCCCTTGCCGCCACAAAGCACAGCCGAGACACCGGCTTGCTTCCGACATCTTTTCAGCGGTCCCGAACCACGGAGAGCGTCTGGCTAGACTTCGGACCAGCATAGACCCACAACAGGCGCAAGAGCGCATCGCTGCGGCTCAGCCCAGGTCGTCCCTGTAGCCAGTGTGCATTCCGCATGCAACGTCGCTCCAACAAGCTCAGACTCCAAAACGGGTCGACCGAGATTTCACCACACCCCACACGCAGTCGACGACCGTAAAGCGCCTTCATAACCTGCAACCCAGCCACACACAACCACCGCCGCCATTAAGCGCTCCTCATAAGCCTGGTCAAGTCCGCTGCGTCTTCTCGACCAGTCGGCCATTGTACCGCATACAGGACACCACACGACGTCTGCCTAGTGGAGAGGGAAGCATGTCGCCCACGGTGTCGAGTCGGGATATCCGACGCATGCAGTCGGGCAACATGACCCCCAACGACCGCGATCCTCTTTCGCTCGCCCTCCGACCGCCTTCCAACGAGACCGCTGCGCAGCGTCAGGTGCGGCTGCACCAGGAAAAGCAGGCCAAGCTACGATCCGAGGAAATCGACAAGCTGCTCAAGCACACCGAGGCGAGCACCAGCAACTCGGCCAGTTTGGAGGCGAAAAAGGGTCGAGTGTACAAGATGGTGCTGCTCGGACAGGCGGGTGCGGGAAAGACGACGGTGCTCAAGCAGATGCGTCTGCTCTACGACGCAGAGGCGCACGAGCGAGAGCGCAAGGGATGGACGAGCATCGTAGTGCTCAACCTCACCGCCAGTGTACGTGTGCTCCTGCAGACGCTCGAGCGATACCACCAGGGGCGCGCAGAACGCAAGTCGCTCGAACTTGCCCGCCTCGAATCGCCCGCTTCTCCAGTGTCCCCACACAGCACGCACAATACAGTCAGTCCTTCGTCTGCAACCGAGTCGGCCATCGAGACAGCGTCAGCCAGAGCACTCGGCCCATCCAACACGGCGTGGGAGCGTCATCTGCCAAAAGTCATGCAGCTCGAGTCAAAGCTGCGTGGTCAGTTGGGCGCGTTTGGCGAAGAGGCACCTGTCAACGACCCAGAGTCGAGGATGATGACGACAAGACGCACAAAGATGGGCGACAAGAGTCTGCTGCTGCTGCGACCGGGATGGCAGGAACGCCTGTTTACCTATGCGCGCCGCTCCCTTTCGCTCGGAGCAGGCGGCCGAAACTCCATGCAGGAACAAACACGTCGCGGCGAAGAAGCGGGTGATGACGACGAGAGCGATGCGCTGGTGTTGCTGCGGTCGATTCAGGCCGAGGTGACGGCGCTGTGGGACGACGATGTGCGCTGTCGAGCCTTGCGCAAGCGCGGAGTATTCCTCGATGGGCAATCGGAAGCCGCCACGTCGTACTTTCTCGAAGCATACGCGCGTATTGTGGCGCCGGGCTACTCGCCCTCGGATGAGGATATCCTGCACTCGCGCGTGCGTACGCTCGGTGTGACCGAGGACGTCTTCCGCATAGACCGCTCACTCACCTACCGCATCTTTGACGTGGGCGGCAGCCGAAGCCAACGCGCCGCCTGGGTCCCTTTTCTAGATGACGCCCAGTCGATCATCTTCCTCGCACCCCTCTCGGCCTTCGACCAACCGCTCATCGAGGATCCATCTACAAACCGCCTCGCTGATACCTTTGCCCTATTCACGCAGGTCGTCTCCCATCCCCTGCTAAGGCGCGCAAGCGTGATCTTGTTTCTCAACAAGATCGATCTGCTCGAGAAGAAGTTGCGCCAAGGCAGAAGCTTGGCCTCCTTCTGGCCGGAGTACGGTGGAGATAACGACTTCGAAGCGGTGTGGAGGTGGTTTAGAGCCAAGTTTAGGGATGAGCTCAGGAGGGCCGAGGATGACGGGGTTGGGGCAAGGAGGAGGTTGTATGTGCATACCACGGTGGCGACGAGCACGAGGCAGATCAAGGCCATTCTGATGAGCGTCAACGATAGTATTTTGCGCGATAATCTCCAGGCTGCGGGATTGGTCTAGTGTTGCAGCAGGGGGCAATGCATGGGTAAGGTCGAAGCGGTGTGTGTGTGTGTGTG